ATCCATTCTGTCACTCTCTGTCTCTTTATGGGTGCATTTAGGACACTTACATTCAGTATAATTATTGATATGTGTGAGTTTATTGCTGTCATTTTGTACTGCTTTTTTGGTGATGCTGACGTTTTCTTTGTTCCTCTTACTTTCCTGTGCTGAATTCCTTTTGTTTGTGGATTTTTTTTCATTTCTTTTGTTTTTGTAGGTTTTGTTTTTACTGAGACTTTATGTTTTTCCTCTTTACTTTGATGAGTAAGTTTGTTAACTTTCTTTGTGGTTACCATGAAATTTACCCTTATCTTTCTAAGTTTGAAGCAGTCTATTATTAATTAGTATCGCCTTGCCTTCCTCTCCATTAGAAGGTTCTATACCTACACCATTTATTCCCTCTTTTATTGTTCTGATGTTGTTGTCATTTACAGATTAACTTCTCTGATTCCCTGTTGTATTTCTTTTGGTTTTGATAATTCTTTGATTTTTTTATATATTTATGTCTTTGTGTCTAAGCTTTTTCTCTTATAGACAGCGTATTGATGGGTCGTGGTTCTTTAATCCATTCTGCCACCCTCTGACTCTTGACTGCTGCATTTAAGCCGTTTACCTTCAGTGTGATAATCGATAGCTGTGAGCTTATTGCTGTCATTTTTTTGTGGTGTTGACATTTTCTTTGTTCCTCTCCATATGAATTTTATATCAACTTGTCAATTCTTACAAAGAAACCAGCTAGCCTTCTGATAGGGGACGCTTTGACTCTGTAGATCAACTTGGGGAGCATTGTCATGTTAACAATATTAAGTCTATTGATCTATGAACATGAAATGTATTTCTGGTTTTTTTTTTAGATCTTTGAAATTTTTTAACAATGTTTTATAGTTTTTAAGAGAATAAGTTTCCCTTCTTTTAAAAATTGCAGTCTTTTTATTTTACCGTCTTTGATGCTATTAAAAATGGAAATGTTTTTTAAATTTCATTTTCATATTAGACTTTGCAGTTTATCAAAACAAGATTTTTATAGACTGATTTCATATCTTGCAAAGTTGCTGAATATTCATTAGTTCTATTAACTTTTTAGTGGATTCCTTAGGATTTTCTGTATACAAGTTCATGTCAAATGAGAATAAAGATAGCTTTATTTCTTTCTTTTTGATCTGCCTATGTTTTATTTCTTTTTCTTGTCTAATTGCTCTGGCTAGAAACTAGAGTGCAATGTTGAATCAAAGTGGTGGGAGTCTGTATTTTTCTATTCTTTTGATGTGTTTTTCTGGTTTTGATATCAGGGTAATTCTGACCTCTTAGAATGAGTTAGAAAGTGTCCCTCCCTCTTCTACTTTTTGGAAGTGTTTTTAAAGAATTGTTATTGATTCTTATTTAAATATTTGGTAGAATTCACAAGAGAAGTTTTATGATCCCAGGCTTCTCTTGGTAGGTTTTTTTTTTTTTTTTTTTTTTTTGTTAACTAATTAAATCTTTCTGCTCGATGTAAATCTTTTCTGATTACCTTTTTATTATTTATTTGGTTTTTGTCATTCTATGAATTTTTTCATTTTAGCTATATTATCTAATTTAGTGGCCTTCAAATAGATCATAGTATGCCTTTATACTTCTCTTAATTTTGTGATGTTGGTAGCAATCTCTTATTTCATATCTGAAGCTAATAATTTGAGTCTTTTTCTTTTTTCTGTATCAATTTGCTAAAGGTTTCCAATATTTGATAATCTTTTTAAAGAACCAGGTTTTGATTCCATTAATTTTCTCTATTGTTTTCTATTTCATTAATTTTTTCTCTAATCTTTATTATTATGTCCTTTTTTTCTACTTTTTAAATATGTTCTTTGCCCTTTTTCCAGTGTCTTATGGTGGAAGATTAGGTTATAGATTTGCGATCTTTCTTATTTTTAACATAGAAATTTAAAGCTATAATTTTCCGTCTAAGCACTGCTTTAGCTGCATTCCAATAATTTTGGTGTGTTGCATCTTCATTTTCAATTAATCTTAAAGTAATTCCTAATTTCCTTCTTGATTTCTTCCATAACTGATTATTTAGGAAATTGTTGCATAACTTACACATATTTGTGAGTTTCCTAATTTTCTCTTTTGTTGATTTCTAATTTAATTCTATATTTTGTATTTTTTTTTTACTATTATTTCTACAAAAGTATGATTAATTAAAGAAACAGATTATGATCTGGTTTATCCAAAGAGACTCTAGTCCAGTTCATAAAAGACAAAGAGGTCAGGGTGGTTAATGATGTTCCTTTGGTCAGTGCAAAGATAAGGAAGGTGCACTGTTCTCATCCACTGGTCTGGAACATCACTTAAGGGTCATAGAGGGAATGGCTCCTGGTTGAGAACTCTGGTCTCTTTTATTCTTCTGATTGGTTGAGCAAATTGTAATTGTTCCATTAAAATGTGCATTTTCACTATTATTTCTTTATTCTTTTTTTTCCTTAAAGTCCTGTTTCCATTCCTTACTCCAGTTTGTGAAGCACTAGGTATCTCTCTGTTTCCAAGAGCTGTTACTGATTTTTTCACAAAATCTGTACAAAGAATGAAAGAAAGTCGCCTTAAAGATAATCAAAAGGTAAGATTTGGTGGTGGTTAAATGACTGTGCTCCTGTTCACTTTTTGATGATTTATTTAAATATATATATATATGATTTGTGTACTTTTCTGCATTTAAAAAAGTATATAGAGAATTGTAGGGCTTAGAGCAAGAGAGTTTTTACATTTTGGAAGAATGAAGAATGTGGAGACTAGGGAAGGAGATACAGAATGAGTTACAGATGCAGAGTTTAAAATTTAATAACGAACATGATAATTAAAATGTTACTACATAAATATTGATGGGGTAAAAAGTTATCATTTCCCTTTTTTTCAATATGTCATCAAATGATAAAATTACTGTTGAAATATTGATTTACTGGTATTATAATTTCTCCATTTCTTGACTGACAAACAGTTATTTCAATTCCAAGCCTCAAGCACTACACATTTTCCAATGTAAGGAATCTCAGGTAAACTAGTTGAATATCACCCATGTTAAATTTCTGCACTTTCATAGTCTGAAGAGGGCAGGGGTCTTCTCTGGGCATTAAGGCTGCAAGATGACTGTCTTAGCTTTGACTTCATGAGGCCCAGAGTGAGTAGCACGGTAATTACTTCAGGTAAAGGAAGTAGGTCTGGAAACCCCAGAATATCACTGAAGATTGTTTAGAGTTTTGGGACGGTGGGATATTGGAAGATGCTCACAGAAAACAGCAGATGAGCTCTGCAAATGTCAGGCTTTAATCTGTGTTTTCATTGGTTTAGAAAAAGAAATGCAAGGCTAAGTGAAGGCATGAAATTAAAGCCAAAGCAAAAAAAAGACTGAAGTCAGGGGTTTTTCTCTTGAGCAAGAAGGTATGGCATGAGAAGAAGCAGACAACTCTTTGGCTAGGAATCTGTGTTCAAAAGCCAAGGAAGCCAAGAATCAGGGAGGGCAAGATCACAAAAGCAGTGAGATATGGTAGCTAGATTTATCCCAGGGAAATATCTTGCTCTTTAAGATTTACAGATGAATGTTTCTGTTCACTGGTGACTCAGGCAACACAAGTCAGACTTCACAGACTTAAAGGGCCATATTCTTAGGAAAGAGGTAAAGCACTGCTCTTTGTGTCATTTGAATTTCTCTTTCTGCTTTCAGCACCGAGTGGATTTTCTTCAGCTGATGATCAACTCCCAGAATACCAAAGAAATTTCATCCCATAAAGGTAACCAGGAGAGTGACTCAAATGGCTACTGATGGAGTGGCTCAGAGGAGAGAAGTTGGTCTGAAAATGTGCAAGAAGCTTTCGAGGCACATGAGAATTTCTGCCCAATTAAAGAAAGAGAAATATTCAGAAATTATAAATTATAGCCAGATAGATTATCTCGAAGTCAGCAGACATAACTCTGTTCAAAGATAGAAGGGCACCCATAAAAGAAGCATTTCATGCATATAAATCAGTCAGTGTTCTATGGATCACTCACATCAGAACCCCCAGGAGCTTGTTTTACATGTAGATATCCAGGCTGCTCCTAGATCCCTGAGTTTGAACTCCGGCCTGGAAATTTGCATCAAGTCATCACATCAGGAAGTACATTGCCCCAATATTGGTGATGGCAACTTGGAACCCTTGGTTAAAGTTGTGCTCAGTAGCTTAATCTACTGTAAAGTTTTGTCATTATTAATTCATTTCAGGAACCTTTGAGACTATGTAATTATCTTGTTTCTCCTCAAACTTTCACATACTAGTTTTATTACCCATTGATTATTGAGCGAAGCAATTATTTGTATGATGGTTTCAAAATGGTGGTTTTCTATTTCTACCCTAGCTTCCACATTTTTGAGTTGGTATTCCACTGTAAGGGATAACTTTATTTCTCCCTTGTTTATTTACTTACATTTGTATGGGCTCATAAAGTATTACATTAGTCTCACACTATCATGATTTATTTTGATGTTCCGACTGTCTCTGGTTTGTTCAGTGGAAGCTCTTTCAAAGTGACTGCTGTGTCCTTTACATATGACAAACATTTTCTAAGTACTTACTTGCTTTCTGGAATAAGATATTTCAGGTTTCTTTTCTATTTCACCTGATAAATCCTGAAATCAGTCATTTCTTCAAGGAGCTGTAGTTTTGTTTAATAGGAAATGGTATTTAGAAACCAAAATCTTGGAGTTAGGTATGCTCATTGCTACTGGGTTTTCTTTACCCTTAGATCATCTCATAGACAAAATTAAAAATATATTGGCACAGAACTGAGAAGCATAAATATATAAATATATATCCATTTATAGAGATATAACTGGCTCTCTTTCTCTAAAAAAGTCCTAATTAATAATCTATTTCCATGACATAAAGAGTTCCATCAGGTTCAAGTGGAAGGCATTAATGGTTTGAACAATAAGTTAACAAAATTCCTGAATATTTAACAAGTAAGTCTAGACAATAGGGATGAGCTGACTTAAGCACATCACTGTAAATAAACTTATATCTGTGTCTACATCTGCAGCTATCTATCTATTACCTCTCTACCTATCATTTATCTATCTTCTATGCTTTTTCTGGGTTTTCTAGAGAAGAAAAACTAGTGAAGCATCTATCTATCTATCTATCTAGAGACTTATCTCAAGAAAATGGCTCACTGTTGTGGAGAATGGAAAGTCCCAAAGTTCATGGGTCAGGCATTGGCTGGAGGCTTCTCCTGACTCAAGTGGCTTCAGGGGTTAACAAACCCAGAATTGGCAGATCAGATGGCAGGCTGCTGGCTCAAGTCCCAAGAACTGAAGGTCAGAAGATGATGAATGAGAAACAGGATCCAGAATAAGCAAGCAAGTTTTGTTGGATCATCCATACGTTTATTGGATGCAGACCACAGGCCCTAGGAAACTCCCCTTAAAAATAATTGGCTGATCAGTTCAGATCACAGCATAGAGGTCATTATATTATATCACAAAATGGAGGATAAGCACATCAGATCACAAAATAGAGGATAAAATCAAAATATTCAGAATCACAGCCTAGCAAAGTTAACACATAACATTAAATATCACATCTAGCTATCATCCATATCTGTCATCTATCTATATATTATATATCTCCTTATCTCTCTATATCTCTTTGTATTTCTATTTCTCTATCTACAATGTCCAAAAGAACTTTCAATGATGAAGGAAATGTTCTTTGTCTGCACTATTGAATATGGTAAGAGCTAGATAAGTGTGTCTATTGAGTATAGATATGTGGCTAGTGTCAGTGAAGAACTGAATTTTTAACTTTGTTTATTTTTAATTAATTAAAATTTAAGTCCAAATGGTCCCATTTGGCTAGTGGTTACTGTATTGTAAAACGTCCCCACACATCTGACAGTTTATCATACTGTGGTGGCTTGCATGTCGTAGTGATGCTGGAAGCTATGCCACTGGTATTCAAATACCAGTAGGGTCACCCATGGTGGACAGTTTTCAGTGGAGCATCCAGAATAAGACAGAGTAAGAAGAAGGACCTGGTAGTCTACTT